GGGACCACCCTGGCACCTTCTGTGTCACTCCTCGAGCTTCGTCTGTGCTGCTCTTTATTTTTAGAGTTTTAGGAGGTGCATGCTCTGGGGACCACCCTGAGAAGAAGGCAGAAAATGAAGAAATAGGGAAGAAAGGGGAGGCAGGCGAAAGGGAGGAGAGAGAAGGAAATGAAAAAGAGGGGAAGTGAGGGAAAAGAAGAGAGGGGAGAGAAGATCTAAGAGCAGGAGAGGGAGAAGAGTGGAGAGGAAGAAAGGTGAGGAAGCTAGAAAGAAGCAGAGGGTGAGGGTGGAGAGAGAGGGCAATAAGAGGAAGGGGGGAGGAGAGAGAGATGGCTAAGAAGCCACCAGAGGAGCCTTCAGACCCTACCCTGAGGCACCTGGCTCTTCATCTGTACTTCTCCACCTTGAATGCAGCAATCTCAATGCGAACTGATTTTATTTTTCTGGAGGAAATTAAAATGTGAGCTACGAAAGCAAGTGGGCTTCCTTCTCCTTCCAGTTCCTTTCTGGGCTGGCACCCACGCTAAAGGGCACACCCCCTAAAAGAGACCACACAGCTGTACAGCTGTGTCTCCAGGGAGCCTTTCCAGCCTCTCTCCAGAGTCGCAGCTGGGAACCTCAGGAGTCTCCGGGTGCTTTGTTCCAGGCTACTCCATGCCTGTCCCCTCCCCACACCCACTTCAGGAAATGTCAAAGGCCCCATTTTTCAGGGTGTCTTTAGCACCCTCTAAAGAGGCACTGGGTAATCACGTCCCAAAACATTCACAAGTTGTAATAAATAGTATCTTCTCCCAGGAGCTGGGGAGCGGCAGAGGACACGGCCTGGGGGTGCAGGCCTGGGCTGGCTGAAGCCGCACATTTTCAATCTGTCCTATGCAGACCTGAGCAGCCAGGGCCCTTGTCCCCCAGTTGTTCCGAGCTCTTTGAACAGTCCAGAGTGGCCCCCTCCTCGTTTCCTCCTGCTTAATACAGTTTGGAGAGCTTCGGTAGAAGCTTGAAAGGAAGACTACGGTGTTGCTGCAGCCCCACGAAAGAGAGGGAGCTTGTACTCAGAGATTCCAGACTAGGCCGGGAGAAACAGACCTAGAGGACAACTATTCAAGAGCGACAATGCTGGAACTGAAGTGGTTGGGGGAGGGGAGAGGGAGGATACTCGAAGAGGGGATGAAGGAGGGAAGAGGAAGGAAAAGAAAGGAAGAAGGGGAGGAAAGAGGAAAGGGAAGAGGGTGTCGAAGAGGAGGGAAAAGGAGAATGGAGGAAGAAAAGGAAGATAAAGAAGAGAGGATGAAGGAAAGAGAAGGGAGGTGGGAAGAAGAAGAGTAAGAAAGGAAAAGAGGAAGAAAAAGGGAGAAGAAAAGGAGGAGGGAAGAGTAAGGAGCAGAGAAGAGCCTCTTCCCCAAGGTCCAGCCCCATCTAGCCCGAAGGATTCTGGTCTGAGTTCCAGCCCGCAGAGCAGTGGAGACCGGTCATACTTCTGGAAACCATGGAGATGAGGAGGTGGGAGGACCAGAGTGGGGTAGAGGAAACCTGCTGGGGAGGAGTCAGAAAGGCAAGGAGGAAGAGAGAGAGGGACCCTAGGCACAAAGCAGCCCAGAGGAGAGGGAAGACAGATGGTGGGGTGCAAAGGGAGGCTGGAACAGAAAAAGTGTGCAGAGAACTGAGTCGGGTGGAGGGAGGGCGGAGAGGGAGAGGGAGGGTGGAAGGCTAGAGAGAGAGCTGAGCAGGGCAAGAGCACACAGCCGGGGCAGGAGCCCTGGGAACCTCTGAGGCACTGGAAGCCTTGGGAGTTGATTAATGACTGGAGAGGGGGTACAATGGGGGCAAGGGGCTAGCCAGGGCAACCAACCAAGCAGGAGAGTTTCTCCCCCACCCCAGCTGCAGCCACCCATCCCCAGGTGAACCCCCCTTTCCCCTGCTGGATGTGAAATCGCCATTTCACCCCGCCACACTTCTTAATTGTTGCAAAAATCATTTGTGAAATTGGTCTCCAACAGGCGAGAACGGCCACGCTCATTCTGACAGACAACCCCGCTTCCTCCCCCCTGGTGCCTGCCCCGCCTGGGCTCAAGGGATCCCCAGCTGCAGGGAGACAGCGTGGCCAGTGCAGGGTAGTAAGCCCTGGCCTCCCTGGAGGGTAGAGAGCAGAAGATCACCTCAAGGGCGAGGTGGCACCCAAGCGCAGGGCTGAGGGTCCCAGGGGCACCTTCCCTGCACTAAGGTGACCAGCTGGTGGTCTGTCCCACTCCAAAGGGGCTCCAGTTACAGGGCTGGTACTGAGAGGTGAACCAATCAAGTATAGGTGCCACCTCTCCTCAGACTTCGTTTGCAGCTGTGCTAAGACATGAGTGGGGTCTACAACGTATCACCCCACTGAGAAGCCTGCACTCAGTTTACCTGCATTGACCCAAGACCGGCCTACATAGACCCTAACCTACGCTTAAAACCCAAAGATGCCAGTGGAAGCCACTCACACTCACCCACGAGTACACTGGGACTACGCCACGGTACAAAGGAGGGTATCTAAGAACCTGCCATGCCAGGGGGTGCATGGATGGACAGGCAGGTGGCAGGCTGAATGAGAATGCATTAAATGTGCGTGCTGTATTTTATATATATATATATATACCGATATACAATGTTTGTATATATATATATATATATATATATATATATATATATATATATATATGTATATACACACACCGATATACAATGTTTGTATAGAAATGAATATCCACATCAGGAGTTGAGGCAGGCTGGGCACTCTGGCAAATCACCCTCCCCCTTTCCTCCCTGGACAAACTACTGGCCAAAATCCCCGGCTCCCCACCTGGCTGGCGAGGGGGGCCTGTGGTTCAGGCCACAGAGTCTAAAACTACTTGGCTTCTATGCCCTCCCTGTTCAGTCCTGCAAGTACATATTTAACAAGCTTTTTTCCAAAAGGGCTCCCATCCCCCCCCCCGAAAGCCTCACCCACCACCCAACCCCAACCCACCCCCAGAAAAGTCTGAGGAGCCCCTCATGCTAGGAGGAAGAGTCAGTGGTAAACAGAGAGGGGCAAAGGTCACAGGTGAGGAGGACGGGAAGGGAGGAGGACACACTGGGGCACCCCTAGGCCAAGACCAGACTGACCCCCTCAGCCCCCAGGAGAGGGCAGGCAGGGGGTGAGCTCGAGGGCTGGGTTTATTTTATTGTATTTTACCTCCAGGGCTGGGCCAGGGAGGCCTCTTCCTGGGTTGGTGGGGGTGGACTGGGGGGGGGGGTGACACAAAAGGTCCGCAGCTGCGGCTGGCGTCCTATCCTGCTGGGAGGGCGTCTCACCCCTAAGAATCTCTGTCCTGAGGCTGAGACCATTGGTTTACCCTGGCTTCAGAGAGCAGAAAATTGTGGGACCAATTCCCCCACCCACCTACCCACACACACTCTCTGGACCATCTAACTGGGGGACCAGGGGAGGTGGTGAGTTGGTGGCAAGCTCAGCCCTGCTGTCCCCCACTCATCTCCCACACGTCTCCGGACACCTTGAGTCACCGGTGATGGCCTAGGAGCTGGGAAGAAAGGAAGGCTGTTTCCAAGGGTTCGGCAGAGCCAGGGGTGTCAGCAGCAGGCTGACCTACGCCCCGCTGCACTTCTCACTCCTGCTGCTGGAGGCCAGGGGCGACCTGAGCAGCAACCGCCCCCCCTCCCGTTTGTCTCAGTGAAGAAGTAAAAATCCTTCTGCGGCGGCACCCAGCCTGCTCCCGCAGGGAGGGAGCCGTTGTCAAGGAAAGTTCAGAGTTATTGATCTAAAGGGAGAAGAGGTGGGTGCGGTGGACTCGAGTCGGGAGGCCGGGGACAGCGGGAGAGGACAGTGGAGCGCCAGCCCGAGGCCGGCTGTCCACACAGCCGAGGCAGCTGAAAAGCCAGGGATCCGAGCGGGGAGCACGCAGCCGCCGGTTCGTCTCTGGACGGTCCTTGGAAGTTGCCCCCGCCCTTTCTCCCAGCACCCCAAGCCCACTCCACCCCGCGGACACCCCACACCCCGGGCCCCCTCTATTTTCACCAAGTTTCAAATTATCTCCCTCTCCCACCACCCCCTCGGAGAGAGAGAGAAAGAGAGAGAGAGAGAGAAGAAACGAGGTCGAGTCGGAGATTAGAAAGAAAGAACGAAAAAAATTCGTCGGCCACTTCTTTTCCTTACCGTCCCCTCTCCCTCCCGAGCTGAGCCCCCTTCCCTCCTCATGAATAAAAGAAAAGTCCGAACCTATCAGATCTCTCCCGCCGCCGCCTGCCCGTCCCCCGCGACCCCCCCTTCACTCCCGCGCCCCGCCGGTTGAGCACTTTTGCACAACTTACCCAGCTGATCGCTCGCGCCCCCTCGCTGTTCCTCTCCTCCACCCCAGCCCTGTCACCCCGGGTCGCCTCCCCTCCGGCGCGCGCGTCCCCCGATCCCGTCCTCCTCCTCCTCCTCCAGGGGGGACGTGGTGTGAGGGCCAGCCGAGAAGAGGCGTGGAGAGGAGGGATCCAGGGGAGGAGGAGGGAGGCCGAGGCCGAGCCGGAGAATAAATATATAAATAAAGACGCAAAGAAATTCTCCCCGCAGCCGCTCGGCTCGGGAACTCGGACCCGGGGCGCCCAGAGCCTGTGGCCCGCCCGGCGCAGCTCGGCCCGCGGCCGCCGCGGTCCCTCGGCTTAACTTCTGGCCGGGCCCGGCGGGCGGAGGCGGACTTGGGGTTGGCGTGTTTGTTTGTTTGAACTTCCCTGTCGCCACCTTCCACTCCCCCCTCCCCTCCGCACCCCCATCTCACCCCCCCCCGCCCAGCTTCTGGAAGGGGCGCGTCTGCAGCCGGGTGGGGGGGGGGAGTGTGCAGAAGGGAGGGGGAAGAGACTAGGGCGGGGAGGGGGGGAGAAAGAGGAGGAGGAGGAGAGGAGGAGAGGAGGATCGCAGCAGGGGTGAGAGGGAGAGAAGCCGAGGTCCCTGCAGCCGACTCCGGAGTCGTCCGCGGCGTGCGTGCGCAGGCATGGCGGCGCTGCCCGGCGCGGTGCCCAGGATGATGAGACCCGGCCCGGGCCAGAACTACCCGCGCACCGGCTTCCCCCTGGAAGGTAAGAGCGCGCCCGGGGGGGCCTTCGCGGGGCGCCCCGGGGAGGTCGGGGCGGGTCCTCCCGGGCTCCGCGCGCGCCCCGGGAACTTTCCCCGCCGAGCCGCGGGTCACCGGGGCCCGGGCTTTCCCCGCGAGCCGCGTCCGCCCCGGTCTGCGTCCCGGGGAACCCCACTGTCCCCCGCTCTCCCGGGCCACGGCGGAGCTCCCGGGGCTCTGCGCCGCGCCGCCGGCTCGCCTCCCTGGCTTTGACTCGATCGGTCCCCCGGTCCCCGCGATGGGGTCCCAACCCCTTTTATTTCGAAACGCAAACAAGCGAGGCTCTCGTCCCACTTCGCCAAACGGTCCGCCTCCTCCGGGGCAACTTACCACCTCGCTTGTTTGTTTGTTCGTTTGTTTGTTTGCTTGCTTTTCGGTCCGGAAACAAACTAATTGGAAACGATAAACACCTAGAACCGTATTTCCCCGCAAAACCAAAAAAGCCCCAGACACAACTTTTCGCTCCGATTTCTAAAGTCTGCAAACGTCCCGCGAGAGCAGCTCGACACCGAGAAAGGGTCCAGCGCCGTCCGTTCCAGGGGACTGTTTCGGCCCTGAAACGGTCGGGCAAATTCTTCGGCCGCTCGGGGGTGTGGAGGGGACAGCGGGTGGCGGCCGGGCCCGGAGAGGACACAGGGCCCCCTTGCGCCACCCCCGCCCCCACTTGTCTTTAAACCGACGGGAGGCTCTCCGCCAGCCGCGGAGGGGTCCTCTGGCTTCCTCGGGTCAGGCAGCCCCGGGACGTCCTGGGAGCGGTCACAACGGCGCGCCGATTTGATTTGATTTGATTTGATTTGATTTTTTTAGTCGCCCCTCTTGTCATTGTGTGGGCCCGGCTTGGGGCTGCGGGAGGGATGGGGAGAGCAGGCGAGAAGGGGCGGTGTGGCAGCCTGCGGATCTGGGGAGGGAGGCCCCCCTCGGGCGGCGAGAAGCCGCCGGGTGCCCGAATTAGACAGAGGCGAAGAGAGCGGGCTGCGTGATCAAGTGCGCGCGAGCGGCCACGCAGGCGGGAGACGCCGCAGCCGGGGATTTGCCGGAGTCCTCTCCCGGAACGAATGCAAGCAAAACAGGCGGCTGAGGACGCGCGAAGGATTAGGACAATATTTGCCCAACATGACGCAGAATACTGAGGAGAGCCGAGAGCCGGTCGCTAAAGAGCCTCTTGAATATAAAGTTGGGCGTTCGAGAGCTCTCCAGCGCTAATGGCGTACCCCGCCACGGAGACCGAGTGACTCTGGCTTGGCGACGCACGATTCCTGATTAAATCCGAGGGTGGCTTCGGATAGCTACTTTTACAAAGAAAAATTGGTGGTGGGGGGGTGTGGAGCGGGAGAGTGAGGAGGGGGGCGGCAGGAACAGCTCAGCAGCCCGAGCCTCCTCTAGCCTCCTCCTTTCCAATTATTCTGTGTGCTTCCTCCGCTTGGGCCGCTGTGAAATCGCTGTAATCTTCCAGATCTCTGCAGCCGCGAGTCCCCAAATTGGGGGGATCGAGGCCGGATTAGTGCACCGGGTTCCCCCACACACCACAACCTTCTGTGAGAAAACTGTGTAGACTTTGCATTAAGGACTGCCTAAGTTCTCCTCTCCCCCAGAACACGCCAGGTATGGCCATCTTCCTGGTACACACACACACACACACACACACACACACACACACACTGTGACCAGCTTCATTGCGGCAAGGACTGCCTGCCTCCCGCTTACTGCATTTCTGAGACCAAGTTGGAGCTCGTGGCCCCTGCTGAGCGTGCCCCCAGTTTGTCCCCAAACGAAATGAGAACTCTGAGGGTGTTTGGAAGCAAGGGGCATCCACTACGGGATGTATGTGCGGCACTACCGGCTTCATGTCACCAAACCTTAAGCTGTGTGGACTCAGTCCTGCAGCCCTGGCCGCTCTAACCGGAGCTGTGAACGCTGGGAGTCAAGTGGCCTCTTAACTAACCGGCCAAACAGTTGAGTCCCGGCAGCCAGGGGTGTAGGACCGACCTGGAGGGCTACCTCTCTCGAGCTGTCAGGCTCTTCCAGAGGCAACAGGCCTGTGACTTCAAGCCAGAGGGTCATTTGCAGCTGCTCCTAGGATCTCTATTCTCCACCAGGCTCCACTCTCTGTCTCGTCAGGGATTCACATCGCCCAGAGGTGTATCTTCACTTCCTGCAGTGTAGGGCGACTTTGGGGGGCAAACAACCAAAGGCTCTGAAGCCAGGACTCCTTTTTCCCTGTAGAAGCCTCCCAGGGCTTCAGGAAGACCTTGGAGAGTGGCTGTTGGGGGTCTGGGGTCAGAGGGTGCTGTTCTCCTCCTCTGACTCTCACTCACCGTCTTCCCTCCCTCCTCCAGTGTCCACCCCTCTTGGCCAAGGCCGGGTCAATCAGCTTGGTGGGGTCTTCATCAACGGGAGACCCCTGCCGAACCACATCCGCCACAAGATAGTGGAAATGGCCCACCACGGCATCCGGCCCTGCGTCATCTCCCGTCAGCTCCGTGTCTCCCACGGCTGTGTCTCCAAGATTCTGTGCCGGTACCAGGAGACTGGCTCCATCCGGCCCGGGGCTATCGGCGGCAGCAAACCCAGAGTGAGTGTCTTAGCCTCTGAGGCTGGCAGCAGACCTCCCCTAGTGTCAGGACCTCGGCTGTCACCTCTCTCCTGAGCCCGTGCCACCCAGCCGCCCTGCGTATCTGGAAGCTTCCCCTGGAAAAGACAGTCAGAGCTTGTTCTTAGCTCTCAGATAGTGTCCCATTATTCGAAAATTTGATGGGCTAGCTGAGCTCCAGACTGCCCAAGACTTTGAAGCTGATAATCCCTCACTGGAATGTCCCCACATCTGCCCCCTACCCCCGTGTTGCCCGAGGTGGTGAGGGAGGGGGGACAACAGGGTTAGGAATTATATTTTATTTTGTTATTTGTCCCTGCCCCCACCATGCCATCCTGGGAACCTTGAAAAGCTAAAAGCCCATTTTAGGATGAAGGGCATGGCCACCACGGGAACGGCCAGCCTGGCTGGCAGCTTTTGGGAGGTTGATACTAAAACTCTTTGCCTTCCCCCATCCCATCTCTCCATTCCTGCCCTCCCACCTCCACCTATGAAGCAGGTGGCGACGCCAGACGTGGAGAAAAAGATTGAGGAGTACAAGAGGGAGAACCCCGGGATGTTCAGCTGGGAAATCCGGGACCGGCTCCTCAAGGACGGCCACTGTGACCGCAGCACGGTGCCCTCAGGTGAGAAGGCAGCTGAGCCAAGGCTGGCCAGGAGTCTGTCTGCGGGTTCCGAGGGGTGGGCAGAAGGGTGGACAGAGGAAGGGGATAGGTCTGTGTGCAGGCACCTGGGAGGAAAAGTTCAGCCTAGAGGTGAATCAAAAGCAGGAGGGAAGAAAGGGAGGAAGAGAAAGATGGAAAAGGAGAAGTCTGAAGAAGGAAGGGAAATGGGAAGAAAGGAGAGAGGAAGAGAGGTAGGGATACACCGGAGGGGACTAGAAAGAAATTTAACCTTGAGGCTGGGGTTCCCTTGAGCTTTGGGGAAAGTGATCTGGAGAAAGAGAGACCTGCTGGGGGGTGTCCCTGGACTCCCCCACTCCTCCACCAGCACCCCTGTGAGGAGGCTCCGGTCCCAGATTGCGGGACACGGTCCTGTGCTGTGAGGACGGGAAAGTTACCGGACTTGCGTCTGGCTGGACAGACGCCTGTGTGCAGGCGTGCAAGGCCAGGGCACACCTGCATGGCTGTAGCGAGGGCCGGGGCTGTCTGGGTAGCACTAGGGCAGTGGGCTTGTTGTGAGTGGGGTGTAAGAAGGTGCGCCCTGAGAGGCACTGGGCGGTTGCCCCTGCAGGCTTACCTGGACGTTACCTACGTGCCCCAGGAGTGACCAAGGTCTCTTGGGCTGCGCTGGGGCAAATTCGAGCCTGACATGCTTGGGTGCGAGGGGTCTGCCTGGAGGGGTCTGCCTGGAGGGGTCTGCCTGACCTCTGCCCCGCCCTCGCTTCCCTGCCCCAACAATTTATACTCTCTCTTTTGCCTTTCATTTCTGAGGTTTAGTGAGTTCGATTAGCCGAGTGCTCAGAATCAAGTTCGGGAAGAAGGAGGACGATGAGGAAGGGGACAAGAAGGAGGACGACGGTGAGAAGAAAGCCAAACACAGCATCGACGGCATCCTGGGCGACAAAGGTAGGAACCAGCCGCGCTCGGCGACCGCGTCTCCCCGCGCTGGCTCGTGCGGACTGACCTCTGCCGCGGCCGAGGACGGTCGGGAAGAGCCGCGGGTCGCCCGGGCGGCCGGCGGCCTGGGTTTGGAAAGGCTTTAGGTGCGCGGCGGCGCATCCGTTCCCCCGCCCCAGCCTTGGGGGATGCCCCTGGCGGGTACCACCACCGGGGTAGGGCGGCTCAGCTGTTACCCCTGCGCATCCTCCGGAGCTGGCGTCTGGGCGTCGATCAATGATTTCTAGAAAACTTGGGCAAGCGTGCGGGTGGGGAAGGGGGAGAGGACAGGAGGAGGGTGAGGAAGGAGGAGCCCGCCCGGGGCTCCCTAAATGAATTTGTTAACTAGACCCGCACACGATTTCTAAACGGTCCCTTGAAACCCCGCCTGACAGCTGACTGGCCTCTGCAATCAATAAAAATTAGCGCGGGCTGCGCGGGCCGCCTCTCAGCCCCGCGTGGCTGGGGAGGAGTGAGGGCTCCCGGGTGCTCTCCTCTTGGCACGCGCTGCCGTGGCGGAGGCTGGAGGCCAAGTTCCCAGATGACAAGGGTCGGGGGATTCGGGGTCAGGCGCCCCACACCCTTGCCGGACCGCAGCCAGGCTTCCCTGCGCTCGCTCCGGCGCTCGGCGCTCGCTCGGCTTCCTCTCTGGAGCGGCTGAGGCCCGGGTTTCTTTCTCAAACGCCCGCGCCCCGGCTTTCCCGAAACGCGTTTCTGTTTCCGTCACCCCTCCCGCGGAAGTTTTCTTGTCTGTGTGAAAGTGGGGTTTAGTGGGGGGGGCGGGGGGAGGAAGACTTCAGAGTCACAAAGACTGACCCGGGACGGAAACACACATGCCAGGAAGGCAGGATGAAGCCGAAAGGCAAGTTAGGTGTCTCTGGAGAAAGTACCCCTGGCTGTCCAAGGATTCCTCTGGAGGTTTTTGCAGAGTCCCTGCCCAGCACCTCCGGGCCTGGGTCTCTCTCTCTGATTTCTTAGGAGCGCCTCCCAACCTTGAAGATGAACTTCAAAGACAAAAGCCCGCTTCCAAAGGCAACACCCAGAAACCCAGGCCCAACTCCAGCAGTCAGTGCAGTCGGGGAAGGACTGGGGAGGCAGCGGCAGCCGCTTGCCAGGGAAGAGGCTGTTGACACCGCCCGGGCCGGGAGGAGCTGCTGTTCCTCCAGGGACAAAAGCGTCGGGGAAGAAAGGCCTGGAGAGCAGCGCCTTCGTGCCCCGCTGTGCCAGGCTTGCCTGGGGGGCCTTGAGTGAGCTGCGGAGAGGCAGCCGCAACCCTGCCAAGTAGCCACCACCTTGGCCAGCCATTCTGCCCAGAGCCGTGGGACTCCTTCCTGGGACCCAGGGTTTATCTCAGTTTATCAGAAAGACAAATTAGACTCTTTATAAAACAACAACAACAAAAACAGTACTACTGCTGGGTCCTGAATTTGAATAATCCTTTTGAGGTTCACACTACACACCAGACAGCTCTAGGAGTTACCCCCAGGAAGCAGTTGGGCTATTTGAGTTGGTTTGGAGGTTGCTTGCACTTTGTGTATGAAGGGGGATCTTTCTAGTCCAGCGTGTGAAGGGGGATCTTTCTAGTCCAGCGTGTGATGAAACGCAAGAGAGAGGCTTGTGTCTTGAGGGAGTCCGCTGACCTAGGAGAACTCATAGGCCTTAAAAAACAGTGAACAGTGAACCAGGGGCTTAGATGGAGAGAGGTTTTCCCCGACAGAGTGGGTCAGAATGTTCTAAGTCTCCAGGGGTTTGGAAACCAGGTCTGGCTGTTGCAGCTGGGGACAGCTGAGCATACAGGTGTGAACGTGCAAAGCTGTGAGATGGAAATGGCTCGCAGCGGGCTGGTATCCTGTGACAGATGCTGGGGTTCGAGTTGCCATTGGGGCATGAGTGGCACTCGGGAGCCCTGGATGTTCTTGTGAGTGCCTGTATCTTTCAGGTGGCTGTGTGTCTGCCTACCCAGTGGGCCTTAGGGTCAGGAAGGCCTGGGGTTTTAGTGGGCAGGGGTCTGCAATTGTGGAGAGGCGGTGGTGGTTCAAATGAGAAAGGGTTTTCATTGTGGGCAGATTTGGTGTCCAGCGTGAACCCTGGCCTGTGGGCTGGCGGGCATGTGGGGACCTCCCATCTCTCTCTGAGACTCTAGACTCTAGTCGAATTAATGCTGAAAAGCCCCTTCAGCCAGCAGTCCGGAGAGGGGAGGTGCCCCCACCATGAGCAGGGCAAAGGGAGCCATACACACACACACACACACACACACACACACACACACGCACCAACTTTGTTTTGGCTTCTTGCTTTTTGACAAATGCTTTCTCCCAGGGTCGCCCCTCTCGTGGCGGGGAGCCACCAAAGAGGGGTTTAAGAGCGCGCCTCTTTAAGCACTAAAGAGAGATCCCTCCCTGAGTCCGTTTCTTCCTATCGTCCGCTTGGCGTTTAATAATGTTAAGACTTATTAGAGCTGGTAATGAAAACTGAGGCTGCTGAATAGGAAGCAGTGTTGGAGAGGGGTGTAATAGCTTCCAGGCATGGTAAGAAACTATTTATCCCCAATCAGTCTTCACTCTCAGAGTTTGAAGCACAAACGTTAAGTTGAAGGGTTTTAAAGCAGATTAAATTGAGCTTTTATTTCTCCGCACTTTCATCTCTGAACGGCTCACTCCTGCTTCCCTTGGGCTGATATTCATGAGACTGTGGGCTTTTTTTTTTTTTTTCTTCCTCTTTCCCTCTTATCCTAGTTAAGACTGAGTTATTAGGATTTTTCCTTGTGAGAATTCTCAGGACTGCTGCCGATAGGGCTGCGGCCGAGCTTGGCTTACCTGGGGAAGGGTAGGGGGCAGTTTGCCCCTTTAGTGGGGTAGAGCCTCTCCCCTCCATCCCTCTCCCCAAGAGGCAGGGGATGGATGGAGGTGGCCTGCTAGAGATCCAAGCAGAAAAAGCAGAGGAAGAGACCCCAGCCCAAGAAACTGATAAGGGCATACAAAGAAGGGTCGGGACATTCTCCTGTAGTCACCGAGATAGGCAGGATGGAGAGAGAAACAGGCAGTAAGGTAACAATGGCTGTCTTACCACCACCGGCAGCCAAAGCCCCTGGCATCTGGCTGCGCTCAGGTCCAAGCCTAGGCTCCACACCTCAGGCATAGGACTGACTGGTCCCTGGGGTACAAAGCCCAGTGGCGTTACAATTACTATGAAACACTCAAAAAGTTAACGGGGGGACGAAAAGTCGTTTCCCTGTGTGACCAGGAATTACCCATGGGTGTCCCAAGTCGGATGGGAGAAGACAGTTCGGAATGTGAAAGGCCCTGGAAGGCGAGGGAGAAGAAAAGAGCAGGGCCCTGGGATTTAATCTTTCCTCAGAGAGGCTTGGACCGGTCTTGCACATGCCAGGCAAGCACTCTCTCAGCTCCGGCCTTTGGTTTGTTTTCTTTGCGTTTCCCCCCCTCGATCTATTTGAAGAAAGCTGAAGGCACAGGTGTAGAGTGGGATGTGACGGGAAGGATGGAGAGGAGGGGAGAGCCCGAAGTGTCGGTTTTAGACACTTGTAAAAGGAGGTGGGAAACAATTTAATTTGGCAGCAGCGAAGGCCGCTAATGCGGTTTTCGGTCGTTTGCCGCACCGGAGGAAGCTGTTTTGATTGTGTGTACAAGGACCTGCCAAATTTAATTAGGCTCCGGGGGAGCGAATGAATAGGGGAAGGGGGGTTAGGGCTCCTCGCAGCCCACACTTTTTCTTAGTGTTTTTTCTCCTCCGGAGACTTCACACCTGGAAGGGTCGATGTTGGGGGGGGGGCACTGTAGGTGAGAAGGGTGGGGCCTTGGAGAAGAGGGCTGGGCCGGGAAGGGACCGAGACCGGCCATTTATCGGGAGGCGATCTGCGCCCGTTTAAACCTACAACTTCCCTCCTCTGTAAATGTGTGTTTAGAGAAAGGTAATTGACACTCCACCAAATCAAAGGATTACCCCGGGTTGGCAATCTAATCAAACACAGTCCAGGCGGGATTTGAGTCTGTTCAGAGGAGGATCAGCTTCGCATAATGGGGGCTCCGAGGAGGACAGGGGGTGTCGGGCAATTCCGCGGCTTTAGGCAGCGCTCCGCTATGGCGGTGAAGGGAGCAGAGCGAGTGTGGGAGGGGGCCCTGCGAGGCCCACGCTCCGGTGGGGGATGGGACGCGGGAAGGTCCCCCGGGGGAGGGGAGCTCCTAGAGAGGGGGCGAGCCCACACTGAGCTGACAAGACTCCCTCCCCCCAATCTCCCCCCCCCGGGAACCCCAGACAAGAGTGAGGAGGAGGGAGCTGCGACTCAGCGGCCCAACAATGCGGCGATAACTGTTACAAAGGCGAACACGCGCTCGCACGCCCCGCATCCCGCGGTAAATAAAGTCCGTAAACCGCGCTGCAGATAAACGGGCGCCTAAATCCGGTGTGACGGGCCAGGAGAGAAGAGACAGGAGGAGATAAGGTTGGGGAGGGGCGGCGAAGGAGCAGAATCTAACAGGAGGCGTTCAGAAAAACAAAACTTTATAAAAGAAGAAAGCCGGCGAGGGCCGAGCGCGGGAGCCGCGCAGGGCCGCCGCGGGCCGCGGGGCCCGGAGAACGGGGATGCCGCGGGGACGGTGGGGGTGCCGGAGCCGGGCCCCCGGGGCGAGCCAGGGGGAGGGGAGGCCCGGGCCTACAGAAGCTGCCGGGAGCCGAGCAAGTGGGGTCCCCCGCTGAGCGGACGCGCGCGTTCCGTGTTCACCTCCGGGCACGCACCCGCCGCGCGGCGGCCGTTTCAAGGAGTCTGTACCTAAAAGATTCGCGTGCGCCGAGCGGCCGTTAGAGGAATTAGATATTTACCAGTCTGAAATAAGCTTGGCTAAGAAGAAGGGAGAAGAGAGAGAGAGAGAGAGAGAGAGAGAGAGAGGCACACACACACACACATTGAAAAGACGAGGCTGGGGAAGACTTCAAACGAATTCATCATTTGGAAC